CCTCATTCTGCTTTTTGTGTTGTGATTTTTGAACTGACTGTGTTCCGTTCTAACCACGAACAGTTTTGCCTGCTTTACTTCTGTTTTCCTTTTTGCTGCCCAGACTGCCTGGGTTACTGTTTGTTTACATTCCTGCAAGCCTCAGGCTCTTTTGTTTACAAGCTCTGCTGAGAAGAGCCCTTTGACTTGTTAATTTGCCATTAAACACCCTTTGTTAACCCTTAAGCTGCTGTTTTGCCTCATTGCTCTGCCTGGGTCCTGACAGTTTTTTTTTTGCACTGAATTCAGATCTGTGTTTATTTTTTCTCTAGCACGTGTAGTTTTTGCAATGGGGCTAATCAAATAATTAAAGAATTTACACTCTGATATCAATAAGATTCCATTAGATCAGTGCATTAATTATTCAATTAGCCTCATTGCAAAAACTACACGTGCTAGAGAAAAAAAATAAACATAGATCTGAATTCAGCACAAAACAATCTATAAGAATGACCTAAAGTATATCTGATGAAAACTACTTGTTGGTTTGTGTTATTATTCAATAATGTTAGAGGTATTTTCACTGCCATTGTCTTTGCACAGTAACAAGGAAAACAGAGCTAAATTTAAAAAATTACAGCCAGCTATGTGCTGTGAATCTACCCAGCATATATCTTAGATAAAGCGATTGTACCTTTGGAACAGATTCAAAGAACTCAGAAAATAAAAGTGGGTCTTCATCTGATTACAAAACACAATAAGATCATTAATAAAATAATACTGTCCTTCCCCCAAGAAAGTTCATTCAAGATCTCTGACATACTGATAGGTGAGTTCATTAAATATAGTTGAGAGTGTCATTTATATTGAGACATGATGAGAAAGAAGGAATGAAGGCAGGCAGGCAGGTAGGCAAACAAACACAAGAAGGCTATTGTCCCTTTGAGACTAGGCAAAAATCTGAAAAAAGCACTTGCAAAACTGTCACGGTGGCAGATTCCCATGGCACAAAACTTAGGAAGCTACAAAAGTGTCCTACTTTTACAAAGGTGCTGAACATCCAGTATTTTAGATGACATCAGTAGAAAAAAAACTGCTTGCCCAACTTTCTAGTGGCTTTAATAGCAGTAGGGGTGAGGAGGAAAGGAAACACACAATTAAACCAATTTAGTTTTGTGATTAAGAAAAGCCACCATGAAATAAGTCAGGTCTGCACAATTTGTGACCGATCAAACTGTGAACATTGCTGAATTTGTGAATTTACACCAGCTGCCTGGACATGCCCTACAAACTATTTTATGACACTTTTGACCATCACCAATTCCAGCTATAAAAGCATTGCGCTCTTACGACTAGGAATGTCCAGTGAATGTCAGCTAGACTAAATTATACTGTTGGTCATCTAAATAACCTCTGATGTTGTTTCTGTATTTAAAGCTACATCCACCAAGTTTCCATAAAGACTGGATCTAAAATATCCTCTAAGCTGGCATACAAACAACCTAGAATTAGTATAAGTAACACCTTTCAGAGGTTAGTCCTATTGGGTTAACTGGGTTTTCCAAGTAAGAAAATAGTCTGAACTGTTAATCAAAATGGCCAAGGGAGCAGCTGTGTCCAAACTAAATTAGATGAGGTTGCGCTATATTCAAACTCCACTTAGGACCTCATCTCATGGAGGTCCTTGAAGCTGGGGACAGCAGGGAGATCCATAGGGCAGCAGAGCATATTTGTCTCCCAGCACCCTGCATCACCCACACCACTTCCTTGCCCATCACATGCCAAAAAGCATACTTTTCCCATGTGCTCATTGTCCCCATGATTTTCAATCTGAACATGGGTAGTCTCCCATGTTCAGATTCCCCCTCTGAGAACACTTCACTAACACATTGGGCACAGAACCCTGACAGAAGTAGATATGCATCATGTGACAAGATCCGGCAGGCTCCATGCCAGCTCCATGGGTGAAGTATTCTATGATTAGATATTTCCCATGTGATGAGATCCTATGTCTAAAGGTGCTAGAAGTTACTTAGGACTACTCTCTCCCTCCTTAAAAAATATGAGAGCATTTCACAAAATGAAAGGCAGTAGAAAAACAGGATGGGTTGTCTTAATAGCATTATAGACCCCTGGACAAAGTAGCGCACTAGGCCCTGCATACGCAACCACTTACAAGAATAAAAGTGTAAATTATCGATAAACTGAACTTACGTTTATTGATACCTCTAACAAAATTAGTGCTCATTTTTTCTTTCTCCTCTGTAGCTTGTTTCCTCTTCTGTGCTCTACTCAAAACATTAAGTTTCATTTTTGATCAAAGGGTTATTTATGAACTTTGCTAATATCTAATGACTCTATGATTTCAGTTGTTTTTCACCTCAGTCCACAGGGAGGCAGGTAGTAAATAAGAACAACAACTACAACAACAACCCCAGAATCGCCATAGATTGTGGTGAATCTGGCGGTGCCCATCGATGGGCGTGAGGAACCCGTCAGATCACACCCCATATCACTCAACTCATGAATAACCCCATCCCACTGGGAATAGCATCAGCCACCCAACTTTCCCCCTCATTGTTGCTGATTGAACACAGGAAGCCTCCTGTGTTGCCACCTCAGTGGCAGACACTGGCTCTGCTAGAGTTTAGCCACAGATCCACACCAGAAGTAGTATGACATCATGGGATGGGAGTTGGCAGACTCTCAAGCAAAACTAACACTGAACTGCCACATGCCACCAAAACATGCTTCATCTGATGTCATGATTGTTAACATTCTCTCTATGTTTCCAGAATAGAGTAAATTTGAATTTAGAGTAACATGGGTCTTTTCTCAATCCATGTTTCTCCCCCACAAAAAACCACCTTTTGTTGACTCTTTTGCTAACAGACTGTAGCCAGCAAATACTTCTGATGATGAATTTGTCCATAGGTAGATATTTGATATCAGCTAACAGAAAAAATGGTTCTACTAGCTCACTCTTAACTCACTCTGAACAACTAGCACATGTTTGAGTTAAAATTACATTCTGAATGTATAAAGGGTTTCAGTCTCATGCTCTACATATCGAAGAACAAACTGGAAACATCTGTCTAAATCACAGGCAAGTATATCCAGGGCATTCACACTTATTTAAGATGCAACGGATAAGAAATGAAAACAAGAGGGCAGCGAGGCCTCAATCAGTCATATGGTAGTCTGCATGCTTTAATCAGCAAATTAATCCATTAATGCTTCCGTTGATTAATTGGTTGGCAGCCTGGTTTTAATCAGTAAAGGGAAATTTTAATTGGTGGGGCTAAGATTTAAAGACATATTTGAAGCTGTTTGATGCATTAGCAGTAGGGAAATCAGTGATTCAATATGGAATAGTGATTGGTAGCTCTTATTTATTAAATTGCATATTCCAAAACATCATTTCATGTGTCAAAAGCATTTGTAATCTCATAATAAAGAAATACATTCTGTTGGTTGGTTTATTTTATCATTTGCCTTCCAAGTTTTAATATAGCAGGCCTGTATATCATGTGAGCGATCTATTTCAGGATCCTTAGCATAATACAGTTTTCACATATAATCCAAAACTTTGTCTTGGGCTTCCAGTGGAAGCATACCATAGAATAGAAGTGATGTCTAGAGAAGTATTCTCTGTAGGCCTCTGGTGTGACTCTGTTGTCAACTTCTGTTGAAATTTCCAGAGGAAATTAACCACAGAATCATGTTGGAGGTTTAGAAAGAACACTTCTCTATATATCAGTAGGTCTTCCTCCATAATTCTTTGGTATTCAAAGGTCTTCACATATAACTGAAACCACATTCAATAAGCTTGCAAAATAAGTGGGCCAATTGCACACACTCCAGAGCATCTAATTAAAAAAAAACCAGTGTAGTGTTAATATAGTGGTACTGAGATGTAAGGTTCAGTGAGTTGAATGGGCTTTTCCCCAGGTGGGTGAATACAGGATGATAAGGCCTAACAATATACCTTTGCATGGGAAGTTGTTCTGACATCTCAGTTCAGTGAGGACAGAAGTGGCCTACCAGAGTAGCCCTATGCATGTAGAAGAAAATCATACTGAGTTCAACAGAACATTGTTGTTGTTGTTCATTCGTTCAGTCGTTTCCGACTCTTCGTGACCTCATGGATCAGCCCACGCCAGAGCTCCCTGTCAGCCATCACCACCCCTAGCTCCTTCAAGGTCAATCCAGTCACGTCAAGGATGCCAGCCATCCATCTTGCCCTGGGTTGGCCCCTCTTCCTTTTTCCTTCCATTTCCCCCAGCATAATTGTCCTCTAAGCTTTCCTTTCTTGTCATGATGTGGCCAAATACTTCATCTTTACCTCTACTATCCTTCCCTCCAATGAGCAGTAGGGCTTTATTCAATAGAATGTTCTTCAGTGTAAATCAGTATGGAAGTGCAGCCTTACAAAATAGCACATCATAAATAAACAAAAGAAATACCATAAGATCACTAAAACAAGCTAAGAGCCAGTAAAAGGCAAATCAGATGCTATGAAAATACAAGAGAACAGGAAAGCTTTTTGCCTAGTTTCTAAAATACAGTAATTTTAGTAACAATTAAGGTTACAGCCATAGCATTATTAGGAATGTAAATTTCATAACAGAAAATACTCTTTCCTTAGTAGTCACTAACATAGCTTCAGAAGCATGAGCACCCAATCCACAACTTGTGATGCAATTTTTAATTATGTGGCAGATGTATTAACCAATGAATGCTTACCAAGCCAGATGACTGATCACTAAAACAGGTAGAAAGGCAGAAGACAGCTATGTAAAGTTAGGCCAATCAACAGTTTATAGATTTCAGGTTGATCTGGATGTTCCTTCTTCATTTTTTGGTAATGATATTTGTATGTTTTGATGCACACAATTATCAGATTGCATTGAAATCTCCATATATCTCCCATCTAAGACTCAGCTATGAGACCATCTTCAAAACAGCTCTTTACTTTTACATCTTATTGACAGTCACAAAAATACATATGGCATAGTTACCTGTTTATGAGCGTGGTCATAAGAGTTGATGTGATTGTCAAACTCTTGATGTTTGTAGTACTGTTTGTCACACAGTTCACAATAGAAGTTGGCTTTAAGGTCTTCCAGTGCCTTGGCTATCGTATTCTCCTTTTCAGCATAATCCTATGAAAACAAAGACAAGAGGGACATGCTTTTTTAGCTATTGTTCTGACAGTACCAATGAGAAAGTTGTTTTTTCTTTCCTTTTGCTCTGTAATTTAATCAAATTTGTCAATGTTTACACTGCCTTACTAAAAGTTGGACCACATTTGCTTTATCAGCAGAGCAGCACAACATTTTGTGCACACTCCAATTTGCACTCCAACTGACAGCTACCTCTAGGGCTTTCAAAAGACACATGGCGACAGAAACACATTTTTAATCCTACAAAAAAGTAAACAAATAAAATGAATATTAATCTTGCTTACGGCAGTATTCATGTTAATTTTCAGGGGAAAGAACACCCCACCCCACCTCTGCATCATTCTACATGCACAAATCAGTGGTCAAAATCCCTTCAGTAAATAAATGCATTTCAGCACAACACATATTGAGATTAAGAGACATTTAATTTGGTTACAGGGCTTTTTTCAGTGAACAATAATGAACAATTTACTGCTTCAATACAGTGGAAAAATAAACAGGCTGAGGGATAAATATGGTCATGCAATGGAATCATCATTTATTTCAGGCATCAAAGATATTTACATGAAAAATATCATCTGCAGCATGACTCTACATAAAGGAGAGTTGGGAAACTTTATCTCCTCCAAATGTTATGGGCCAAAACTGACATCATCCTTCTACCATAATTTATAGTAGGTGGCCGCATGGGATGTGTGGGCCAAAACATGTGGAGGACCAAAATTTTATCTCACTTACCATACCTAAGTGTTTCTAACTATACAGTATATTAAAGTAACAGTGATGTATTCATCTGTCTTTCACTCTTTAGAAACAGTTATTATGGGCACTGCTCTTCCACCAAATTTTGCAGCTCAACTAACTAGCCAGCATTGTTTGTACTGGTAATTTCACTGGTTACATACTGGACTGGGCAATCATATAACTTATAGAAGCTACCCAAGGTTTTAGACAAGAGTCTGTCCCATCTCAACCTGGAAATTTTATTCAGTGAACCCTGGAGACTCTACCACTGAGCTATAGCTCTTCAATAGCTATTAGTACAGTGGTTAATATTTGAGTAAGGCTTAAGAATCCCATATTGAAGTCCCTAATGAACATTTAAGCACACTCAATGACCTTGGACCATCATACTCTGCCATCCTAACTTACTTCACAGTGTTTTGGGGTGTTTAAAGAGGGAAGGGAAGAATCCCATATTGCATTCCTTTGGAGGAAGAGTAAGATAAGCAATCATATCACTAATTAAAAAACAATTAATTAAAAGTGGAAGAAGACATGTTTGCATGCTATTTAATGGTTGATGATAGCTTGCGCTAGCAGAATTAGCAGAGAATGGGAGGTTTGTATTAGAAGTCCATATGCTTGTTGTGATATGTCTGTGCAATGGTCCTCAAGGGACTACTCAACTTGATGATTTCATTGGTTATATGCTAGGCTTTGAAGACTACCATGGAAGCAAACCAGGTGTCTCCTCTCCTGGGTCAGCATCATCTTCATGTCCATCTGCTGCCAGCCCTGTCACTTCTTGATTGCTCTTCACCCTCAGCAGCCAAGTGATAAAGCTATCTCTCTGTCTTCATCACTCTGTAAAAAGCTGACAGATGGTCACACACTGTTAAGAAGGAGTTGTCATTTCCCAATACTGAACCAAATATATTTAAGCACAACAAAAGTTTGTATTCCTCCTGCTGCTTTTAAAGTTTTTCCTCTATAAATTATTTTGAACCAAATAAAAAAAAACTTAAATCTTGATTAGATTCCTTTAAATACAGCAAGGATTTCCAACTACAATAAAAAAAAGTGGGGTTGGGTAAGAGAGCCACTTAGGGAGTAGTTGCAGATCTATTTCTATATTCATTCATTTATTTATTTCCTATATTTGTACCTCACTCTTCTCACCCCAAACGGGGATTTGGAGCTGCTTATATATTGCTTTTTAGGCACTACCTATGCATTTTTGTGCAGAAAACAGTATTTTGTGCAAAAATATATCTTTCATTTTCTGCAGAGAAAATCCTTTAGATGTGTTACCTGTGTGTCTGCAGGCTGGCCTACTTCTAATAGCCTATTCGGTTCATCTCACACACTGGCAAAATTTGTCAAGCACTGCCACATTTTTTCTAGATCTCAATCACTTCCTGACCTACTCAGACATGTATTGATCTAGAATCCACATTCTCATTTCTTCTCTGTTGTTCATTGCATGTTTGCTTGGAGGTAACTGTATCTAATAATAAATTTGTGGCCACCACATTCAATTCAAAATTCAGTGTTCTGTCTGTTTTGAGACTAAAATATTTCTGCACAGAAAATGCTGTTCTCTGCACATGCCCCTGTAAAATACCGACAATATTTTGTGCAGAATAAACCCTCAAATTCCAAATACTGCAGAATTGTGTTTTGTTTTTGAAATGGGAATAATTACAAAAATACTCATTGCTTTCTTTGAAAGTAAAATTAGTTAAGAATCACATTCCTACTCTATTGACATGTAATATAGAAGCAGATTGGCATCTCTATAATTTGTGAACACCAGTGACTTCTCATTTTGGAAGGCTCTCAGGCAACATGTCCACAAATAGCAGAATTCTGTCTTAGTAGGTTTCCCTCTCTCCACTATGCTGCTATTGCTACCTATTAAATTCCTTTCTTATTGTGGCTTCAATTTGCACAGTTACAGGGATATAGAAACAAAAAAGATGCAATTCTCAGCTTCTCATTCTTGGTCTTTCTTCCATTGCTCAGGGTGTAGCAAAAAACCCCAGGGATCAGCAATACCTTTCCTAAAATTGCTGTAGCCTTTGGTTTTTGCCTATTAAGGCCAAATTCTGGTATTGTTTCTGCTAAATACATATTTGTGAGATAGTCAACCATAGGTTTCATTCAGCAGTTCATTGCACATTTTCTTGTGCTTGAGAAAACAGCTCTAGGATGGAGGATTTTGGCAAAAATCCAGTATTGATAGAATGCTCCAATTTTCTTTTACACATATGGATCTGAATAATGTAACAGAATTCTTGAATGAGCAGAATCCCATCAACATGCTTAAGGCAATGCATATTTGATGTCATAATTAAATGTATTTCTTAAATTACCTGTGGATTTTACTGAACCAGTTTGCACAACAGCAAAAGCACATAATGTGATACTAAATTGCAAATAAGGTGGATGCAGACTGATGGCACTGAACATTGTTTTTTAAACAGTGTTGTACACTGATTTATTATTGAAGTGTTGAAGCCACCCTTTCTCAAAAATCCTCTTAGGAAAGCTTTCCTGGGAGCAGTCATTAAAAGGATCATCAATAGAAAGCCTGTCTAAGTAATGAGCTATACCAGTGAAGCAGCCTTTGGTGTCACCAAATGATGTAAAAATGATGGCCTCATTTTCTGCAAATCTCAAGCTCTGTCTTGAAAAACAGATGATTGAAGTGCAATACGTGGGCAACATGCACCCCTTAATCCCATTTTTCTAGCCTTCCCCAAGAGGTACCTCTATAGTTTGTCCCCTCCCACCGTCCATGTGTGTCCATGTGAATAATAGAAGAGCAAGGAAGAGGGGAGCTGTCCACTAAAAAGCATGTTTTGTCTCCTTCACCTGTCCTCAATTATCTGTCCCCTCCAAAGTCACCAAATATTTCTAAATTAGCTGAAATTTGAACAAAAATGATGTCATGTTACTACCAGTTCTATAACAAAAAAGAGGCAAGTGTGGTCCACTGGGTGGTTGCAGAATGACAAATGCCTCTCTTGTTCAGTTGCTTACCCTTGTGCTAAATATACATTGCTGAGCAAATTTAGCTATTTCTTTTCAGACATGATGCTAGAGGCACATCAAGGAAGGCAAAAAGAACTTTGATAAGACTGGTGGTGACATTTATCAGAAAGAGAGAGAAGGATGTTTAGTTCATCTTTTTAAAATCCTAATCCCATGTAGTTACATTTTTAAGTTGATTTTTTCCAGTCTGATGGCCATTCTTGTGTTTTCCATATTTGCTGGCATATGGCATGTATCACCTTGACAGCATTAACTTTCAAGATTTTAAACAGTTCAGCTGGGATCCCATCATCTCCTGCTGCTTTGTTGTTAGCAATGCTTCTTAAGGCCCATTCAACCTCACTCCTCAGGATATCTGATTCTAATTCACTCACCACACTGTCAGAACTATCCTCGATATTATTATCCTTCCTATACAGATCTTCTGTATAGTCTCTCCACCTTCTCTTGATCTCTTCAGCTTCTGTTAAGTCCTTGCCACCTTTTTTCTTATTATACCAATTTTTGCCTGAAATTTACCTCCAATGTTTCTAGTTTTCTGGAAGAGGTCTCTTGTCCTTCCTATTCTGTTGTCTTCTTCCACTTCCATGCATTGCATGTTTAAAAATATTTCCTTATCTCTTCTGGCTAACATCTGGAATTGTGCATTTAACTGGGCATATTCCCCCTTATTGCTGTTTCCTTTTGCTTCCCTCCTTTCTTGGGATACTTTAAGATGGTTCCTGCCAAATTGGAACAACGGAAGGGAATACAATGGTAAGACGTTATGAGTTGCAGGCTGAAATATCTGGAAAGCCAAAGGTCTTCCATTTGATACCATAATAGTACAATACACAGCAATTATATATATATATATGGATCGTTCTTCATGCATGGTATGAAAAGGAGACTAAAGTTAGGGCATTGCACTGCAAATACTCAGTTCAATAATTTTTGCACTAAACCAGTTTATATCAAACCAATGATGGAATAGGTGTTTGTTCCCAGTCCTAAGTGTGTTCTAAATAACTCAAAATATTTCCAACTGCAGAATTACCTTTGGATAAAAATTGCCTCATAAAACTGCTTGATTAAGTTTTTAAATGTTAGCCAAGCTGTTATGCATGGAGATGTGGTTATTATCTATTATTTATGGTGTGCTTTTGCTACTACAAAACTGAAGAGCTAAATCAAAGGGATAATGTTATTTCATAGAGATG